TGTCTCAGTTTCGTCCCATTGCTTTATGTAACATTGCATACAAGCTCTTCTCTAAGGCTCTTGCAAATCATCTCAAGCCTCTCCTTCCTCTCCTTATCAATGAATCCCAAAGTGCTTTCGTTCCTCAACGACTCATCCATGATAATATAATTCTCACACATGATCTCCTACGTGTTCTTAAATCCAAAAAGCATGGTGACTCTTGTTTCATGGCTTTAAAACTTGACATGGCTAAGGCCTACGATCGAGTTAACTGGTCCTTTCTCCTCAAGTTCATGAGTCATTTAGGATTTGATCTGAGATGGGTGAATTTAATTATGGAATGTATTTCTACGGTTTCTTATTCTGTCCTTTTAAATGGCGAGAGTGGAGACAGTTTCTCTCCTTCCAGAGGCCTTTGCTAAAGGGATCCCCTCTCCCCATATCTCTCTCTTTTGTACCGAAGCTATGTCTATGTTATTTCAGGAGTTTGCGTGAAGAAAACATATTTTGGGTTTTAAGATAGGTAGAGGCTGCCCACCTATATCTCACCTTCTTTTCGCTGATGATGCCCTCTTATTTTGCAAAGCTAATGCCTTTGAGGCGAAACACATGAAAGTCATCCTTGATCGATATGAAGCTTTTACAGGTAAATTAATCAATCTTGATAAATCTTGTATTTATTTTTCTCCAAATACTCTTCTTGCCCAAAAATCTGGTTGTCGTGTTTTTTATGGGGATTCAAAATGTGGACTGGTGTAATACATACCTCGGTCTCCCCTCCCTATTGGGCGTTCCAAAGTTTCAGCGCTTAATTTCATTTTGGAGAGAGTCTCATCCAAGACTAAGCTTCTCAAAGGCCTGACGATGTCAAAAGCTGGCAGGGAAGTGATGGTGAAATTAGTACTCTCAGCCCTTCCAACCTTTGCTATGCAATGTTTTCGTCTTCCGAAACAAAACTGCCAGAGGTTAACAAGTAACTTCCTCAATTTTTGGTAGAGTGGGGAAGAGAAGTCCAACAAAATTAAATGGATCAGCTGGGAAAACCTTTGTAAATCAAAGAATAAATGTGGTCTGGGCTTTAAAAATGTTGAAGCTTTCAATCTGGCCTTCCTTGCAAATTTGGCCTGGTGGATGGAGATTGGGGATGATTCTCTACTTTTTAGATCTTTAAGAATAAATATTTTAAAAATTGTAGCTCTGTGGACGCTTCTCTAAAGTCTGGAGCTTCTTGGGTCTGGAAGAGTATTTTTTTCGGCTCGTGCGGTTATCAAAAAGGGGATGAAATGTCGTATTGGTAATGGATTGAAGGTTGATTGTTGGAAGGATAATTGGCTCCCAGATACCTTTAATTTTGTTACTACATCGTCAACTCCAGGGATCAACCTCTCCTTGGTTTCGGATCTTATCAACCACTCTACCCATAATTGGAAGTTTGATTTGGTGAATCGTATTTTTTACATGAGAGATCGGGAACTCATTCTCCAAATTCCTTTAAGCTCGGTTGGTAGTGATGATTGTAAAGTTTGGGGTGCATCGAGGGACGAACGCTTTACTATTAAAATGCCTACTATACTGCTATTTCGGTTCTTAGCATTCAGTCAGAATTTTTTTCAGAGGAGGGTTGTAGCTTTGATGTTCTTAGAGAATCTATGTGGAAGCAGGTTTGGTCAATTCAAGGTCCCAAAAAAATTTAATTATTCCTATGGCAGTGCCTTCATGAGCGCATCCCTGTGAATTCTATGTTGTATAAGCGTGGAGCTTCTGAATTTTCGTTATGCCCCTTTTGTGAGATTTTTGCTGAAACACTAGACCACCTCCTTTGTACAAGCCCATTTGATGGTCTGGTGTGGAAACTGTGTCCTCTTCGGATTGGTTTTGGTGGTCTTTCTCCCACCATTTAGCCAAAACGATGGGCGGACCTTTTGGCTCGCTAGCACAAATCGGATAATTCGGATGATAGTTCTAGTTTGGCTGCTTTTGTTTGTTGGACAATTTGGAAATGCCGCAACAATTTGGTGTTCCAGCGAAAAAGATGGGATCCATTTGAGGCTGCTCAAAAAGCCTTCATTGATTTTCAGGAATTCAAGGAAATCTCTAGGCAAGATTCGATGCTCTCCCTTCCCCCTTCTCCTCTTCCTCCTGTGGTTCCTTGCGAGGAGTGGTATGCTCCGGTTCCGGGTTTCCTCAAGCTTAATTTTGATGCTGCGTTTAATTCTTCTTTGCGGACCTGTGGAGGAGGTATGATCCTTTATAATCATTTAGGCCATCCCATTAAAGTTGCCTCAATTTTTCTTGATCATGCATCTAGCCCTCAGCTGGCCGAAGGCCTTGTTCTTCGTAAATCGCTCATTCTTCTCAAAAATTAGGGTTATCACAATGTGGTTGTGGAAGGAGATTATATGCCTGTGATGAAATTGCAAGCTTCGGTTGATGGTTTGATGGTGATTTTCAATGACATCCTTTCTATCCTTAAGGATTGTGTGGGTTCTTCCCTTGCTTAGGTTCCCGGTCGTGAGAATGTTGTCGCTCATGTGTTGAGTAAAAAGGCTCTTATAGCTGAATGTAGTGATGTTGAGTGGAGCATATGGCCCTTGTGGTTGTTAAATGCTCTTCTCCTTGATGTTTCTTTTCCTTTTCGTTGTCGAATATATTGTTGTTGTTAAAATAAAAATAAAATAAAAAATCGCACAAAGGACATGTATGTTACCAATTGCACAAAATTGCACAAAGGACGTATATTTTAGTATTATACCATATGTGATCCCTTTTGTAATTTATATTTTGTGTTGTCTTGTAGTAAGTAGAGTCTCTTCCTCTGTGTGTGTGTGTGATCCCTTTTGTAATTTATATTTTGTGTTGTCTTGTAGTAAGTAGAGTCTCTTCCTCTGTCTGCGTGCATGCGTGCGTGTGTGAATATTATGTCAGAAGTTTGGTGGTGAATATTTACATATCTAAACTCACATTTCCATGAATCCCCTTTATTTATTTATTTTTCTCTTTTCATTGTTATTAACTAAAGAGCAACTAATTTATTTTATATTCATAACAACTAATTTATTTTATATGTATACCACTACTTACATATTCTTCTCATAAAATAGACGATAGGCTTTTGATAATTTCCATCAGCTTGCCTCATCAATGAATGTTTATGTGAAAACCAAAATGCAAAATAGAGTTGTTGCCAAAACCCCTTAGGGCCTGTTTACCAACGCTTTCATTTTCTTATTTTTACTTTTTCTATCAAAATAGAAAGTAAAATGATGTTTAATAAGAAGATTTTATTTTTAATATTTTAAAAGCAAAAAATAGAAAGTAAGTTTAATAGTTTTGATTTTAATTCTGTTTTCCCTACAATATCCCTTTTTTTTTTTTTTTTTTTTTTTTAAATGCAGATTTTAACATAATGATAAATCAAAACATCAGAAAAATTGGTGTGAACCAACCAATTGGCAGATTCATTACTCTGGTTGATTCAGTGGAACTAGAGACCGTGAAACTGCTACCTCTGCATCAACTTTCACACCCATTTCGTCAAAGAGTTCCTCAAATCAAGATTCATTTATGGTCTCTTACCTCATAAATTCATGTGGGTTGTCTCCAGAAACTAGTATTTCTACTTTGAAACCCCAGAAAAACCGGACTCAGGAAACCATGGATTCTCCAAAACCCAGATAGCCCTTCTTGTGAGGAAACATCCACTGCTGCTTTTAGCCAATCCTGATAAAACCCTTTTGCCTAAACTTGAATTTTTTCAGTCTATTGGGGTTTCAAGATCTGACCTCGCAAAACTTATTTGTGCAACCCCAAACCTCTTGGCAATAAGCTTAGAGAGTCAGATTGTGAACATAGGGAAGATAAAGAGAAATTGCTACCAAGAGGAAAAACAAACAAAAGGAAAAAAAGAAAGGCCGCCTTAGCTTCTGAGATTGGCGCTTGCTCTGGCACTTGCTCTTGTCCTGATTCGAATTGTTTTTAGCTTTTTTTCTTTGATTACCTATTCTTCTTAGGCTGTGACAAGTGGTTGAACAACAGTGAACTTCACGAATTCGTCGGGAAAGGACGTGAAAACACAGCTTGTCGCCAATGAAAGAGAGTCGACTTCGCCTTCTCCAATTCGTCTTTATGTGACTGATTCAAGTTGATTTGGGTATATATTATTGATTGGTACGAGAGAGGAGGGAGATGGTTGTGGCAGTGGCTATGGTGGGGAGGAGGTGGGGGGAGGTGATGGCGGTGGCAGTAGCCGGTGGCCATGGTCGGGGGAGGCAGCGTGGAGCGATTGGTGATAATAATTTTTGAGATTTATTTATTCATTTATTATTATTATTATTTTTTGATAAATAATGTTACGGTAGAAAAAGGTAAAAAGTAAAATTATATTACTAAACATAATTTTCACTTTTATTTCACAATTTTAGGAATTGACAGTAAAAAATCAAAAAGCAAAAGCTTTACTAAACAGGTCCTTAATATCCTTATTATTTTATATTTCTCATTTTTTTTTTTTTTTTTTACAACAATTAATTTTCAAATTATTAAATACTATACAAATTTTGAATACCGCACTATCACTACACTCCTATTTTTCGTCCGGTTGACTTGCTGCATTGCTGATTCAATTGCAAAATTGGGAACATATTTGCTTTTTGATAAGATTAGTTTATTTTATTATTATTAGTATTTTTTAATATGTAAGTTTGCCAATCCTTGGTGGGTAATTATTTTCCATGCTGAATCTCTAACTGTATAAAGGTGAAAGTGTTCACTTAAGTTGCCACAATCCACATTTAAAATCAACTCTAATGAATAACTAATTAAAACATGAGCTCTTGACTTGAATATGCCTCTTAAACTAAAATAGATGGAGTCACACAAAATCTAAATTTCCAAAGATTTTTTTATTTTTTATTAATTTAATTTGATTATTGTTTATTGTAATCCACAAGAACAACATTCATTCATTGCTAACTATTGACAAGAGCAAAGTACAAAGAAGACTATCAAAGAGTTCTGACTACAAAAACTAAAAAAACTTACTGGACTTGAGATACTGCTCTTACCATATACCTATCACTAGCCAGGTGAAAGAAGAGAAAATGACTATCAATATGCCATTACTTTCAAAAACCAAATGCTCCAAGGCTGAAAAGTTTCAATATGCGAAAAAAATAAAAAAATTATAATTCGGCCTCCCTAATTAAATATTGAGATTAGATTTTTGTTTCCACTTCAGAAGGGAACAATATCTTTTTACTGCTCATTGTAGGTAGTCATGGGATGAATTTGCACTATTCTTTTCAAACCTATTGATTTTCCAATCAGTTTTCTAGTAAAGTATCTTTCCAGGCTTTTCTTTCGTTCATTCAAATGCAAAACCAACAACAATAGATTAATAGTGCAACAATTTTGGTAATGCTCTCCAGATTTCTTCACAAGGACATAAGGAGAAGAAGAAGAAGCCACCTTTGTGTTGTAGAATCATACGTAGTAAGTTACAGCGCCGATCATTCAGATGCCTCCTGAAAAAGATAAAAATTTCCTATAGTGTTAACAAATGGTTACTCCATACGACAATCTTGCATTCAAATGAAATGAAATGTGGTGTTTAAAAGCATTGAATTTAACCCTCTTATGTACATTTTCCTCGCATGGAGAGTTGTCACTTATATAGCAATCCCTTTTTTTCCCTTTCAATTTATTTAGTGGGCGTGTTTTTATGTAGTGACGCTTTATAGATTGTATTTGTGCTTTGAAGAAACTATTCTATGGGCATGCAACAATAAAACCTAAGTTACCTGAATCCCTCTATAAGCCAAAAAAAAAAAAAAAACTGGCATTTCAAAACACTTAAAACCGCCAATCATGTTCAGGCTTCTGCTTGCTTTGCCACCATTTCAATCTCCGATTTCTTGATAAGCAGTCTACTGCTGGGAGGAAGGTCATTTGCTAATGGGGACATGTCAGCATCAACAAGAATCGAGTCATCTTCCTTAAAATCACCTTTGAGGACTCTTATTGCAATTTCATTCTCAACCATCTGTTGTATCACCCTTTTCACTGGTCTGGCACCAAAGTTTCGATCAAAGCCCAGTGTTAAAATAAGATCGACAGCTTCCCTTGTGTAGTGGAGATCAATTTTCCTTTCATTGAGTCTATCTTTCAAGCAGTTCATCTGCAACACATAATTAGCAATGATGTTAGCGATACAAGTTACTTTTAATAATTACAATACGTTAATATTCTTAAATTAAGAGATTAATAAGTTCATGTAGATACATAACCTTTTGGCTAACCGCATTCGTTTGAGATAAAGGCAAGGATGATGATGATGTTTAGAGGTGCATGTGAGAAGGCAACAAGGGAAAACAATTTGAAGATATCAGAAGTTCAAACTTCCTCATGTTGTTCAAGTCAGTAGCACCCATGCCACAACCATATCAATGGAAACAACTTGAAACACATCTCAACTTAATTGTATGAAATGTTTATGTGACACGAGAAATTTCTTAATCTCTAAAAAAAGCAAGCCCCTGACAAAAACCAACTACTTTAAGCATTGAGCTACTTTTGATTACATCTATTTTGACCATGCAGTAATGAGCTGCTCTGAATTCTCATCTTATTTTCATAACACATTATCGATCAATTGGTTTTTGGATCATCCAACTAAGACTTATACTCAAGCAGAACTAGTTCAATGTTACTTAAGAAGAAGTGATTGTGACGTTTCACATCGCCCGAGGGAGAAGTTGTTGAGACGTGTATGTGCGGATACCCCAACCTACATGTGTTAGACACATTTCAAGGAAAACGTGAGCATTGAGAGTAGAGTGTGCAAAGCGAAAAATATCTACACGGTGTGGATGGGTTCTGACACACACATGTATAAATATATAAGAAAAGAATAGATTCATCATTGAAGAAACTAAAAAAAATCAGATGTCAATACAAGAACCAAAGGCCTAGGAGGCTCCATCATGTTGATATCTTCTCAACTCCTCTTGTCCATAAGAAGAATAAAAATATATCAAGTGGAAGATTATAACTAATCAAGGGTAAAAATGAACACTTTGAAACAAAGCGTCTCCACTCTAACTCTAGGTTAAATATATAATATATATACATATATGCCAATTAATAGAAGAAGGATACAGTAAGGCAAATTGCTGGTTGGAATTGAATGAAAATAATAAAAACTAAAGAAGAGAAGTCACCTGTATGTCAACAATTCTAGCAATTTCCTCTGTATTCAGCGGCTGGAAAACAATAAACTCGTCAACGTGATTCATGAATTCAGGACTAAAAGTTTCTCTAGCCAACTCCATAGTCTGTCTTTTCATTGTATCATAAATTTTTTCCTTGCCGTCGTCGTTATTTTTAAGAATTCTTAGGATATCCTGGGACCCAATATTTGATGTCATTAGCACCACACAGTTTTTAAAACTAACGGTCCTCCCACTAGAATCAGTTACCCTCCCATCACCCAAAAGCTGTAACAAAATATTGAGCACATCACTATGTGCCTTTTCAATCTCATCGAATAGAATAACAGAATAAGGTCTCCGAAGAACTGGTTCAGTAAGCTGTCCCTCCTCAGGACCAACAAGTCCAGGAGACGCACCAATCAAGCGGGAAACTGCAGACCTTTCCATGTACTCACTCATGTCGATTCTCACAAGAGCTTTTTCCGTGCCAAAGAGGTAACTAGCTAATGCATTAGCCAGCTCAGTCTTACCAACACCAGTAGGGCCCATGAACATTAAGCTTGCTATTGGCCTTTTGGGGTCAGACAATCCTGCCCTTGAACGCCGAATTGCATCGGCAACTGATTTAACTGCAACATCCTGACCAATAACCTTTTGGTGGAGAACCTCTTCAATCGTGACTAGCTTCTCCATGTCTGACTGTGATATGTTCGATAATGGTATACCTGTCCATTCACCTACAGCCTCTTGAATCTCATGGTCAGTGACTACAAATCGAAGCAAACAATTTCCAGAAATTTGTGATTCCATAAAACTCTTCCTATCCTCTTCACGCTTGCTCTGAAGAGACTCCACATAACTATTTAGTTCTTCATATTTGAGCGGATCATCATGCTCTAGGGCTTCCATATCTTTTTTAACTCTTTCAATCTATCATATGTTTTAAAATATTATTTACGGAAAAAAATATATGATTTAAAATATATGAATCAGATATAGGACGAAAAATTTGAGAACTTAATTAGCTTTGCAGATTCTACACGAAAATAAGAATTACCAACTGTTTAGTTGAACGTAGTTTCTCAAGAATAGCCTTCTCATGCTCCCACTTCTCCATTAGTCCTTCCCGTCTCTTTTGAAGTACACTTAGATTATATTCCAAGTTGTCTAATCTTTCTTTGGGAGCTTTAAAAATGTCATTATCTAAAGATTGCTTTTCCATCTCCAAATTGAACACGGCTGCATTTATCTCATCCAACTCCATAGGCTTAGTGGTCTCCATTTTCAGCTTGGAAGCAGCTTCATCAACAAGATCAATGGCTGAAATAAAACAGAGAAAAATATATAGCAAATTGAGGTAGGCCTGCAAATTTTAATATACAAGGAAGTATTCAGTGACTTCCCTCCCATGAATAATTCTACTGCAACTTAACATCATGAAGTTGCATTACATAATTGCATAACAAGAGACACAAGATATATGCTAGAACTAATGAAACATTATGACATAGGAACAAAAGCAGAGAATGAGATATAAAAAATAGAAGTTATTTTACAAGCACAAATAAATGTTACTTGATTCTAGTCCTCATGGACAATAAAAATAAAAAAATCCTTTCAAACTCAAGTAATCAAACCATCACATACCTTTATCAGGCAAAAACCGCTCCGTAATATATCGATCTGCAAGTACTGCAGCTGAAACTATAGCCTTGTCTGATATTTTAACACCATGATGCGACTCATACCGTTTGCGCAATCCGCGAAGAATGGAGATTGTGTCTTGTACAGATGGCTGATCACAAAAAACTTGTTGGAATCTACGCTCAAGAGCAGTGTCCTTTTCAATATATTTTCGGTACTCTTTCAAAGTAGTTGCTCCTATGCATCGGAGCTTACCTCGGCCAAGTACTGGTTTTAAAAGGTTTGCAACATCCTTGTTATCTGTTATAGTAGACCCTACAGAGTACATAGCACTAATATTACCACCACTTCAGCAAATAGTTGAATTAGAACATCATAACCATAAAAAAAGGGGATGCCAAGTTAAGCACTTCTGCACATGACATGATTTAAACTTGCATCATATAAAGCTACACTCATTGCTTGGTGCAAATGGTGGAAGTTTAGAATAAAAAGCGCAAGGATACAGAATTTATATATATATATAAAAAGCCACTTTGTGCAAAATAAAACCAAAAGCTACATTCATTGCTTGGTGCAAATGGTGGAAGTTTAGAATAAAAAGCGCAAGGATACAGAATTTATATATATATAAAGCCACTTTGTGCAAAATAAAACCAAAAGTTACGTCTGCCTCCAGTATTTTCCTCCCATCTCCCAAATAGATAAAACCTATGTTACCCGAACTCGGGTGCGGGTGTCAGACACAACTACGTGTCTAGGGGTCGGATTAATCAATCTATTAATTTACAGGATATGAGGACTCGGGCTCAAAAGTGTCTGATATTTAGACACCGGTACTTGGACATTTTGGAAAAGAAAAAAATTATAAGGTTTCTTTTATGGTTGAAACTAGGGTTGCAAATGAACCGAGCTGTGCTGTTCATGAACAGCTCGGGCTCAGCTCGTTAAAAGCTCAGCTCGGGCTTGGTTCGTTAGTAAAAGAGCCGAGCTCGAACTCAATTTTCAAGCTCGTTTAATAAATGAGCCGAGCTTGAGCAACATTGAGCTCGGCTCATTAGGCTCGTGAACAGGCTCGTTAATTTGAAGGCCCATTTATCAGGGGCGGAGCCAGGATTGCAAAGTAGGGAGAACTAAAAATAATTAAACCCATGATTGCTTAGTGTGTCATCCATGCTCTAAATACATAATTATTATGCATCAGTTATTCAATTAAACCAAATAATTTACAACTTTCTAATACATTTACACTTCCAAACTCTAACGTATTTTTACAGTCAAGAATCCATTGAAGTTTGCTTCATACAAGTATTAAAACAAACAACTACAAGAATGCAAGTTATATATGTTCCTTATCAATAAATTCACATTAGAAAGTAAGACCTATGTGCTCCGCCCTTGACTAGTTATTAATCCATTATACTGTAAATTACCCAATTTAATAAGAAATTATCAAGTCATCAACAACGCCTTTTTATATATATATATATATACACAAAAATAAAATTCAATATTTCACTGGATTAACAATAATAATTCATGATATCCATCTACTTATGCCTTAGTGCCTTACACACGAAGAGTTTAGGTCTTCTTCGATAGACTAACAATGTGTTTTGATTTACTGGGTTGGGCCCTATTATATTTTATTATGGTTTATTTTGTGATTGGGCATGTCTATGGTTCGTGGGCTTGCTCATATTTAAAGTTTGACCTTTGTAAATTTTATAATTCTTTTTATTTATAGAAATACTATGGATTGGGCTGGGCTGATAGAAAGAGGAAGAGTAGTACACGGGCTTATAGGAACAATAGTACTAAATTTTTTTTTCAATTGGACCTGGGCTATAGCCCAGGTTAGCCCATTACTAGTTCCCTCCTTGCCATTTATATTACCATTTCACAGTTAAAAAGTTTAGCCCATATGAATATAAGTTTAGCCCAACCCACATCATCTCATTATTAAGGCCCATGCAGATATAATTTATTAGCCCATCAAATAAGGTTTAATCTTAGCCATTAGGATAAATACATCTCAGCCGTTGGTTTCTAAAGTTAAAGATTAGAGTTGACCTAGAACTACAAGTCTACGGCACGTCCTCTTCTTCAGCTCCGCCGCATGGTCCACATGATGTCGCCGGCAACGCTCCTCGTGCGACACAACTCTCTCTTTCCTCTTTCTAACAGATCTTAAGTTACAGCAATGCAACATATCGATAGATCAAGTCCGATATAGCCTTGTAAGGTTTGATTTAATCTTGTTCTGTATTTTTTTTTTCTTTGTTGTCGGAGAGGGAGATAGGATGAATTTGTTTCTCGGTCGAAGATGAAGATCGGATTTAATGGAAGAGCTCAGATGGTTTCTTGAATTGGTGGCTATTCGGTAATGTAACGATTCCGAGCCGAACCCGAGCCCGAGCCTGGCTAGTCCAAGCTCGCCCGAGCACCTCTGTGGAGTTAACGAGCCGAGCCCGAGCAAGCCAAAGCTCGGCTCGGCTCGGTTCATTTGCAGCCCTAGTTGAGACATTAATTTTTCCCATAAAAAAAATATATATATATCTGCTGTATTGTTTTATAATAAAATTTATTTTATTACCGTGATTGTAAACCATAATAACACGTTGCAGTAGGTAGTGGTTTACAGCTGTGACTTTTCACTTTAAACCAAAAGCCACATATCTCCATCTCTTTACATTTAACAAGACAGGTGGCATCATCAATGGACGGTATTAAAACCTATGGTCAATGGTCAAGTTCGTGTGAAACCACGCGCTGTTTAGGCACATAAAACTGCACAAAGACAGCGCGTATTGCCAAACAGAAAAGCCGTCTTCAACCTTCACAACCCTGATTTCAACTCAGACCGCCATTTTTCAACCAGAAAGCTTTCAAACACCGTGAATGGCTGCCGATTCGACAAATAAAATATGAAATAAATTCGTAATGCTTCAGAAGCATCAATCACAAGCATCAGTCATGTCCAATGGAAAGATGAAGGGTCCGATACATATCCCATGTCCGTGTCCAAGTCCGTGTCGTGTCGACACGGACACTAGGGCTGGCACCGGCGAGTCCAGGTAACATAGGATAAAACCAACAATGGGTAGCGGCCTTTTATCAATCAATAAAACTTCCAAAAAATAGTTCCTCTTCTCAAGTGTCGAAACCCAATGCGATCAATTTCCTAACACTCAAGGAACTTCAATAAAGAAAAGATTAACATAAGATGATTCAACCAGTTTTGCTTGATGGATATGAGGTTACTAAGAAAAAATTATTGTTGGAATATCATAGTCGTGACAGCTAATATGCCATATTAGCTCCTTTATTTTAGGGATTTGATTATCGTGATTGTTGTAAGTTAGGGATTTGATTAATATGATTATTATAAGTTAGGATGTCATGCTTCGACGAAACTTCTGGCTGCCAAGCCTGATGATGCAGGCTAGAGCATGAGGAAAGTCACTTTGTGAAAACCTTCTTGCAACCTCAATTAACAGAGACCAAACTGGGTAGTGGCAATCTAATTATAACTTCTTAGTGTATGATTCTAAGTTGAAGACACACCTGCACCAACAATGGTGTGAATCTCATCAATGAATAAAACTATCTTCCCCTTTGCATCAAAAACCTCCTTCAGTATAGCTTCCACTCTATTCTCCAATGTTCCCATCATTGCCGTTCCAGCTAATAGTGCAGACATATTCAATGAGATCACCTGCAGAGTACAAGCCAAAACGCAAACAATTATAACAATGATGATAAAAATAGTTGGAGATTCAAACTACATATCATAAAAATGCTTCCTATGGCTCCTATATTTTTATTTAAAAATTGTTGTCTACCATCTTTATATGCCGATAGAACATTTCTTAATCTTGAATATATATGTTCATATACACACAAATCTTTAAAGAAAGCTGGTTTAGAATACTATACATCAAAACCTACATTTTTTTGAAGTGTGGAAATTTTGTGATTCCTTAAGTTCCTATATTTGTCAGATTACATGGGCCATGAAATTTTCATTTAAGACATTTACCCAAAGATTAATAGGAGCAACAAAGTGAAAATAAAATCTTTTATTAGACACTATCACTCAAAAAAGACAAAATTGATCCACTACAAGAATATGCCTGAAGTAGTCATTTAGCAAAAACGTCTAAATCATTAATTAATCAATTAGAAAAAAATGTCTCAAGCAGATCTACATAAGAGACATAAAAAGATTTCAACTAAAAGGAAAATTTGAGCAAGTAAGAAAACCAGAAACCTTCCGGTTCAACAGGGGCTGTGGAACATCCCCACTCACAATTCGTTGAGCTATCCTACAAAGTAAGAAGAAAATTTGTATCAAAATAAAAAATTGCAGAACTTGAGTAATTGTATGAAAGCTATTGAACAAAAGACTTGCGGGAGTTTCCAAACATTTCAACTAGCATGCTCAAAAACCTACCTAAGAAGTGAATGCATAGCAAATCCCTGATCAACAAAGGTTGAAAAAAGAGAAAATTGAAAGGAGAGAGGAAAAGAGAAAAAGAAAAGAAAAGAAAGAATATCAAGTTACTACACTAAAGAGTACTTGTTGGTTTCTACTACTTTTCCTATAATTGGACAATATATGTTGCTTTCTATTACTTTTTCTGTAATTGGACAATATCTAGACTCTACTTCCTCCTGGTGAAAAAGAGAAAGGCTGTAGTTTCCCTGCAAATGCTCATATAAAATTTCAAGTTGACCATATATATGTAAATGTGAGCTTGTAATTCATTCTTCCTATTTAGAGTGTGCTGCATAGGCCAGAATTACGTACAGGATTTTATACTGACAAATCATTCCAAATATTAGGAATTGCATCTGTATTCTTCACTGACTAGACCCCAACAGTGAAAATGGCATCTACCATGCTCCAAGTGGGCAGTCGTTGTGTCAATAGGTGGTCATCTCCACATGCCATCGAAAGCCACCATGGAGGCAGCAAAAACTTGAATAAATAAAAGAAACAGATATAACTCAAACCCAATGACAGTGATCTGAAATGCCCTGGACCTATAGGACAACGGAAAGCATAAAAATCCTTCCAGGACTTATAAATGCAAGAGACTATATTCATAACATGATTCAATTTGTTTACAGTGGATAGATAAATCAATTATGCTTCTCCGTCTTCCAAACCATAATCTTTCCGGCCACCACTGCTTCTCTATCTCCCCCAACACATTTCCACTCCAATCATCCTCGATATGCTTTTAATATCATCCTTATCTCCCTATTTTCTGAAAATGGCCCCCTCTAGGAATTAGAAATATAATGTCGGTAGGAAATAACCCTTCAAAATCCACCTGACCAAATGAACCAAAACATCCAGTCCCCAACACAGATTGGTATATGTTAAGAAAAAATAAAATTGAACATAGAAATTCAGCATGAACAACACAAGAAGTATTAGAGGGCATCCAGCCCAGTCAGGATTAAAGAATCCATATAAGTCCAAGAGAGTATTAGCAAGTAATCGAATGCCATAATTAAGTGTGCCACGAATATATTGAAGTATCCGTTTGACTTACTGAAAGTGAAAATTAGTTGGTTGATGCCTAAACTGACATGCATAATCACACTAAAAGAAATATGATGTGGCGACCTTGAGGGCGAGTGTGTGTGAGCGTGTGCAGGTGGTACCAGTAGGCTACCACATTGAGCAAGCTAGGTGCACAATCCCACATCGCTTGGGTGTGGATGGGTAAGTGCTATATGTAGATTCAACACCCTTCTATAACACAACGCATTTTAAAACTGTGATGGCCATGAACCCACCAGAACTCTAGAGTTAAGTGTGCTTAACTTGTAGTAATACTAGGATGGGTGACCCCCTAGGAAGTCCAGGGGAGCCAAAAGCGAACAATATTGTGTATAGCTAGGGTGAGGGTTGTTACCAATGGTATCAGAGCCTAACCTAGCTGGAAGTGTGGCAACTTTGAGGGCGGGTGTGTGTAAGCATGTGCAAGTGGCACCAGTAAGCTACCACACTGGGCGAGCTACATATGCACAATCCTACATCGCCTGGGTGTGAATTGGGCAAGTGCTATATGTAGATTCAATACTCTTCTATGACACAACGCGTTTAAAAGCCGTGATGGCCGTGAACTCACCAAAACTCCAGAGTTAAATGTGCTTAACCTGTAGTAATACTAGGATGAGTGACCCCCTCGGAAGTCTCTGGTCCGGAGGAGCCAAAAGTGGACAATGTTGTGTCTAGCTAGGGTGAGGGTTGTTACATGCGAGGCTTTGTGAAGGTTAAATATTGCAACCCTCCAACAATGCTCCTGAAATGTTGAGGATCAACAAAAGGGTTATCATCACGCATAGAATGTAATGCTACTAGTGTAAAGATAAACTTGCAACCCCCATAAAAACAGTTTCATTCAGGTGACCATGGAGAGAGAAAATTTTGACATCAAGTTATCGCATGTCCCAATGTTTCGCCAATGCAGCTATTAAAAGGTTTCAAATAGTAGCTGGTTTCACTACTGGTGAAAAAATTTCAGAAAAATCAATGTCAGGAACTTGGTTGAACCTTTAGCAACAAAATGGCCCATTTGCATAAAGCTTTGTCTTGAAAACCCATTTACACCTAATAACATTCATATCTGGTTGTCATTGAATTTTAAATCCCACTTGTCATTTTGATGAAGAGCATTAATTTCTTCCCGCATAGCAGAAAGACAACCTGGATGTCTTAAAGCATATTTTATAGGCTTGGGTTCAGCTAGGACCTCTAACGATGCCACAAAATACATGGGATTTGACTTGACAAGTCCTACCTTCATAAATGTAACTGTCTGATTTCTAGGAAATAAATTAGGAAATTCAATTTTTGAAAATAAAATCTGAAACTACTATTTCAGATTATAGTAGTTTCTGTTTCCTATTTTCTAGCCTAGAGTTTTGCTGATTTGATTTGCTGATTTTGCGGGCTTCCTCTACTATTTATCTTGTAATTGTCTCTCTTGAAAGATAAGAAGACTAAATATTTTTCTTCTTAAAAAAACCTTCATGGTATCAAAGCCTTATGCTTTTTTTCTATTTTCTGATGATGTCGTATAAGTCGGCGATGACTGGCACCCAAGGAAATCGTACCGTCTCTTCCAGTACTTCCGAAACCATTCCACCCAATCCCACTATTTCTCCCACGAATATTTCGTCCAATCCCATACCTGTATCTGCCGATTACCATTCCCAGAATTTAGCCCTTTATCTCACGGTTACAAAACTCAATGGGCACAATTATCTCAAGTGGGCTCAGTCCGTAAAATTGGCGATCAATGGCAGAGGCAAAATTGGGCATTTGACTTGCGAAATTTCGAAACCTGTTGCTGGTGACCCTAATCTGAAAAAATGGCAGTCTGAAAATTCTCTTGTTATTGCTTGGCTCATCAATTCCATGGAACCTACCATTGGAAAACCTCACCTATTTCTTTCCACTGCTTAAGATGTCTGGGAGGCCGTTCGAGATCTTTATTCAGACCTGGAGAATTCTTCTCAAATATTTGAGTTGAAAACTTGACTTTGGAAATCCAAGCAGAATGATCACGATGTTACTACTTATTATAACGAATTGGTAACTTTATGGCAGGAACTTGATCAGTGTTATGATGATGTTTGGGAGAATTCGAACAACTACGCTCGTCAAAAGAAGAGAGAGGAAAAACGACAAGGTTTACATGTTTTTAGCCGGCTTTAATCGGAGTTTGGACGAGGTCCGAGGCCGCATTATTGGCAGAAAGCCATTGCCCTCTATTCGGGAAGTTTTTTCTGAAGTTGTAAGGAGTCAAGGAGAAAAATTATGCTGCGCAACACCGAACATGGTTTCAATCTGGAACCTAAGAGCTGTGCTCTTGTGATAAGAGGTGTTGATTCTGACGACGACGGCATACCTGAGAGCTGTGCTCTTGTGATAAGAGGTGTTGATTCTGACGACGACGGCATAAGAAACCGTGGTGCGAGCATTGCAAGAAACCGTGGTGCGAGCATTGCAAAAAACCGTGGCATACGACGGAGACGTGTTGGAAGCTTCATGGTAAACCAATAAATTGGAAACCAAAATCCAAACGTGATGGCCGCGCCTACTAAGCCACTGCTAAAGAGACTCAGGAGCCTTCTACCAACTCGGATGCAGTTTCTTTTACCAAGGAGCAATTAGAGCACTTGTACAAATTGTTTTCTCCAAAATTGTCACTCCGTTTTGTTCTTTGGTACAGAAGGGTAACTCTTTTGCTACTGCGTTTTTTGGTGTTATTCCTAACCCTGTTAATTCTTGGAAAATTAATTCAGGTGCAACTGATCATATGACGGGTTGCTCCAAATTATTCTCATCCTATAGTCTGTGTGCAAGCAATAAAAAGGTCAAAATTGCAGATGGTTCACTCTCGGTAATTGCCGGGATAAGAACTATCAAACTCACTCCTTTGTTAACCCTCCATGATATGCTCCACGTTCCCAATTTGTCTTGCAATTTGTTGTCCATCAGTAAAATTACCTCTGATCATCAGTGTCAAGCTAATTTCTACTGTTCTCATTGTGAGTTCCAGGAATTGGCCACGAGAAGGATGATTGGCAGTGCTAAGGAAAAAGATGGACTCTATTATTTTGACGATGGACCTGACTCGAGTAGACGATATCAAAGTACTTCCTTAAATTTTGTTTCTGTTTCCAAAGATAATGATATTATGTTATGGCATTATAGGTTAGGCCATCCTAGTTTTCAGTATTTAAAATACTTGTTTCCCAATTTATTTTGGAATAAAAGTCCATCCTCCTTTCAATGCGATGTTTGTCAGTTTGCTAAACATCATCGTGCATCTTTTTCCCCCCAACCCTACAAACCAACTACACCATTTACTGTGATTCATAGTGATATCTGGGGCTCATGTAGAACATCTACGCATTCTGGAAAAAAATGGTTTGTGACCTTTATTGATGATCACATGAGATTAAGTTCGGTTTATTTGATGAAGGAAAAATCTGAAGTGGGAACAATTTTCAAAAAAATTTACACCATGGTACAAACAAAATTTCAAAAAAATATTCAAATATTGCGGAGTGATAATGGTCGAGAATATTTCAAACACATTTTGGGCCAATTTTTTCTTGAAAAATGAATTGTTCATCAAAGTTCTTGTGTCGACACTACACAACAAAATGGTTTGGCTGAAAGAAAAAACAAACACTTATTGGAAGTAGCTCGGGCATTGCTTTTTATCAATCAGGTACCTAAATATCTTTGGGGTGAAACCCTTCTTACTGCTACATATCTCATAAATCGAACGCC